CTGAAATGTAACAATACAGAGTCATTTAAATGCTAATAAGATGAAATTGAAATGCATAAATCCAATATTGTCAGAATGTTCTCCTGGATTCTGAAGGTCTCAGCACTGTCAGAGCCTGAAGGGACCTCAGAGAACACTAGTCCAATCCCTTCGCTTTCCACATGGGGAAACCGAGGTCTAGGGAGGAAAAAGACTTGGTCAAAATCATGCTGCAGGAGCTTGGAAGACAGGGAGGAGCTTTCTATGGGCTCTGGCCTCCGTTGGCTGTGTGACCCCTGATGTGTTGCTCATGCTGTCTGGGCCCAGACTGGTCATATGCCCTGCCCAAGGCCCTGCCTCATCCCACTCAGCTGCTATACCAGAATTCCACAGACTGGGTTTCTTACACCACAGAAATTTGTTTTTCACAGTTCTGGAGGCTGGGAGTTCAGATCAAGGTGCCAGCGGATTAGGGTCCGAGTGAGGCCCCTCTCCCTGTCTTGCTGTGTCTTCACATGGCTGAGAAAGATCATCTCTCATGTCACTTTTTATAAGAACACCAATTCCATTCATGAGGGCTCCACCCTCATGACCTAATGACCTCCCAAAGGCCCCACCTCCTAATACCATCACATTGGAGATCAGGGCTTCAACATATTAATTTGGGTTAAACACATTCAGCCCATGGCAGCCTGTGTGCCCCTGTGTTTTAGGGCAGGAGTGACTGCAGTGTTGAGAACTGACTGCAAGTGAACCTCATCGGAACATGAGGGTGGTGCACTTGCTAGCAAGGGTGTGAGGGGGAGATAAGGAGCCAGGGTCCTAGAAGGTCTGCTTCAGGCCAGGAGCTGCACTGAGACTCACACAGGAGTCTCCATGGGTCCCCACAGCAGCCTGTTAGACACATGGGTCAGCTCTAGTTTGCAGATGAGGCCCACCCAGTGAGGTTAGATCACTTCTCCAAGGTCACACCACTCATGAAACGTCTCAGCTGTAGAGTGGTAGCTCTCACACCCACGCCTCATTGGGGGATGCATCAAAGAAAAAGTATGACTACTGATTGTGATATCTTTCCTTACCCCCAGCAAACCTGTAAGAGAGGCAGGGTAAGAATCGCTAGCCCATTTTACAGATGAGGACACTGAGGTCCAAGGACTTCCTATGGATGGATGACCCAGGGGCTAATCCAGATATTCATTCATTCATTCAGCATGTTTTGAGTGCCTTCTGAATGCCAGTTACTATACGAGGTACAAAAGTGACATGGCTGCTGCCCACTCAGAGCTCTCGCTCTCAGGGGAAGGGAGGCAGCTAAGCAGGCCCAAGCCATGGAGTGTGAAGTATGGTGTGATACAGGAGGCATTCAGGAGTCAGGAGCATTCACACAGCCCTGGGTGGTCAGGGGAGGCTTTCAAGTAAAGGACACTGTGATGAGCAGAACAGACCGTTATCAAGGCAGTGAAGGCTGGGGGAGTGGAGAGTGTTCCTGTCTGGAGAATTCAGGCAACTAATAGATTCTACACCAACTAGCAGGTCTTCAGCTTTGTCCGTCTGTCAGAATATCATTTGAGTGGCATCATACAAGTACTTCTGGGCCAGTGGACTGCAAGCTGTCTAATCAAGGAAATCCCAGTTAGATCAAATACCAAAGTGAGCTCTGCAACTTAGAAGGAAAACCAAGATGCCCAGAACAGAAGTGGTCTCATGCATGTACTGGTGACATGCGAAAGCAAGGGGTAATGGGTTGGGGACATGCCACATCAAAAGAGGTAACTATCATCTACAGGGGCAAATTTTGGTTTTTAACTGATTTTGCTACCCCAGCATTTCACCCCTCCATACATGCTCACGCAGGTCCCTTCCTGCACCTTTTACTGTGTTCCTTCTGACCTTTTACTAATAGATAATTAAATATTTTAGTTTCTTCCATGTTAAGTTCTACCTGTAGGGGAAAAATAATATTTCCTACTCATCTTCCCTGATACCCTGGGTCAGATCAGATCTTCCTGCTGAGTATCTGCAGCACCTGGGACTCGTCAGCATGGCAAACCCATTATGTTATATAGAAATCAGGCATTTAATGTCTCTCTTCTCCACTATTCACTCCTGGAAGGCAGGGACCATGTCTGGATTATTCAGTGCCTGGAACAGAGTAGCTGCCCAAAAAATTTATTGGATGGATGGATGGATGGATGGACGGACGGACGGACGGGCGGATGGACGAATGGGTGGCTAGATGGTTGAAGAGCATTGTTCATCTTAGCACAATAGTCATTAAAATTACTAGTAGGCCATTAACTTATGCCTACTATTGTCATCACAAACATGATTGCTGCTAACGATTCTCATAGCTCGTGCTGTCAGAGGTCATTATCAGCACCTGTGAGCCACGCCACAGGTGGCAGAGGGACAGGCAGAAACAGTGCCTCAAGTTTAGAAAGTCCCTGGTGACTTACAGAGCACTTCGTTCACATACGGCACTTCACTGACGTACCCTAAGAACTCACGAAGGAGACTCGCAGGGGAGGCAGCAAAGTGCCCCGATTAAGAGAATGTCTCTGCCCTGACCGGTTTTGCTGAATGGTTAGATCATCAGCCCATAGATCCAAAAGTCTCCGGTTCGATTCCGGTCAAGGGCACATATCTCAGTTGTGGTTCGTCCTGGGCCCTGGTCGGGATCGTGCGGGAGGCAACCAGTCGATGTGTCCCTTTCACATAGATGTTTCTCTCTCCCTCCCTTCCTCCCACTCTATCTGAAGATAAATAGAAAAACAAAAAATCCTCAGGTGAGGATAAAAACAAGAGAGAGAGAATGTCTCTGGATCCAGAGTAGCTGGGTTTCAGTCCCAACTCCACCACTCGCTAGCTGTGTGACCTCGGGCAGGTTATTCCCACCCCTCTACCACCTCTCTCAGCCTCAGTTTGCTCGTATGTTCTATGGGGATGATAAGACTGTCTGTCTCATAAAGCGGTTGTATGGTAATGATCACAATAACTACCCAGTGCTTACTCAGTAACTGCTGGGCTCAGTTCTAAGTATTTTACGTGAAATAACTGACTTAAGCCTCATAACACCTATGAGGTAGATACTATTATTCCCCCACCTTTTTTTAAGGTAATAAAATTAAAGTTAATTTGCCTCCCATTCTGCTGGGAGGTGGAGGAACCAGAATTTGTCCAGAAACTGTGGTTTCTAGAGTTCCTGCTGTTAACCCCCCTGGCATCTGTACACACAGGCATCCTTGGTCCCTGCCTCGTCTATTGGTCCCGTGTAAAAATAAGGCTTCCCACTGTAGCCTGGGGTAAAAGTGCCCTCCTGGAAGGATGACAGTTTCTCCTGCGGCTCCAGCACCCCAGACCCTGGACTAGAAAGCCTCATACCCCAGGTGGAAGTATCCGATTTGAACATGGTTTATCATTAGCTCCCAGTAAGTTAGGAGGTAGCAAGAGGAGAATGACTATTGTCTTACAGATGAGGAAACTGCGTCTCAGCAAAGTGAAGGGACTTGCCTAGGGTTTCACAGGATTCGGGAGGACTTGGATTCGAACCTGGATTGCCTGATTCCATCCTGTGTTCTTCGATGCACTCAGGCACAGTCTACCCACCAGCCTCAGCTCTTCGGAGAGAAAGGAGAGAGTGCCCCCTAGGGGAAGGGGGAAGAGCACCTGACTGGAGTCAGGAAACCAGACACCTCTGGGCCCCTCTGCTTTTGTTCTTTGTGGCTCTGGACAAGTTCCTTTTCCTCTCTGAACTTCAGGTTCCTCACTGGAAAATGAGATTAACCCTAAAATGTCAGCAGCTCCAAAATTTGGTACAAGAGGAAAGGATCGTAAAGGAGAGAAATGAGGCAGGGGAGAGAATGACAAGAGGGAGAAGCTGGGACTGGGGTGTGGGCTCAGTCCCGTCCTCCTCCTCGACCCCTCCCCCCTCCTCGGCCCCTCCCCCCTCCCTGTCCTGGACCTAAGATGGCCAGCTGTCTGAGACTACTGGGCGGAGCTGGTCCCCGTGCCAGGCCCAGCCGAGCTCAACAGGGGCCCTTTGTCACCCAACGCTTGCCGGGGCCTTGGCCACTGGTGTTGGGTGTCCAAGCAGATTGGATTCTCTCCTGGCAGCCCCGCAGATGCCGCACTCCTGAAGGGTGGCCGGGCAGGCAGAGAGAAGCCAGCACTCCCTCTTCCTGGGCTCCCAGAGGGACGCGGAGGGACTGTCTGTGGTGCTGGCCTGCGAGGACCCCCAGGTGAGGGCTCCCTGGACCCCAGCCAGTGCTGGGGGCCAAGCTGTGGGCTCAGTGACGTCCTGGTGAATACATGTGAGCTGGTTCCTCTGGCCCAGCCGAGGGCCTTAATTAGTGTGGTTGGGGGCTGAGGGTGGAGGTGGGTGGCTTTCTCCCCTCCCGCTGCCTGTAAGACCCAAGTGGAGAGAGCAGTGTGTATCAGCAGGTGTAGGTGACATGGGCAGGGGTGGCATCTATACGTGGGGGATGTGCCCCAAACCGTGTGGGCAGAGGACATGTGTAAACACATTGAGATCGTGGAAGAAATCGGGGTCTGTGTGTGCACAGAGGGGCTGTGAGCACAGGTGTTTTGAGGGAAGGCGGTGGGGATGTTAGATGTGTGCCAAAAGTGACTGCGTGCGACACTGCACAGTGGGAGGGGCAGCGGGGTGGGCCCTGAAAGTAGGTGGATTGGGCGTAGCAGGGGACCCTGAGCCCTGTGGATCTGAGGGGGTGTGTACAGCAGGGGGTGTGTTGTGAAGTCTGCGTGTGACAGGGCACAGTGGGCAGTTAGGGAATTGGGTGTGTTATGCCTTGGGGGGTTGATATTGTGGGGTCTCCAGGAAAGTTCCAGTATGTTTAGATTTACGGTGTGTGCTGCTGTTATGGGTGTTGTACAAAGCACCGTATTAGAGTGCAAGGGTGTTATTTGGGTGGACACGCATGCACACACACTGGCCTTCGTCAGCACCTCCCCGGAGGCCTCCAGATCCTCACCCCGTCGCCACTCTGTGCTTGCGCCCACAGGAGCCACCACCCCGACCATGTAGATGCCACCTCCAGGAGCAGCATGGGCCCCGCTGAATGGAGACTACTGGGTCTAGAGCCCTGAGCCCCTCCGGCCCCTGGACTTCACCCTGCACCCAGGAACACCCCTTGGAGTTCACCACCGCTGTTGCCAGCCCACCTCCGCCGCCCCCTCCCCCTGGAACCCGGAGTCGGCCACCGGGAGCCGCAGCCATCCAGTGAGGTTGTGCTGAGGACAGCCACACAGAGCCATCACCCGGCAGCCTCTGGTCCAGCGCTGACCCTCGGGCCCGCCCCGAGCAGGGACTGTGGCAAACATGGGTGACATGACCAACAGCGACTTTTACTCCAAAAACCAAAGAAACGAGTCGAGCCATGGGGGCGAGTTCGGGTGCACGCTGGAAGAGCTCCGCTCCCTCATGGAGCTGCGGAGCACCGAGGCTGTGGTCAAGATCAAGGAGACTTACGGGGACACTGAAGCCATCTGCCGGCGCCTCAAAACCTCTCCTGTCGAAGGTAGGTGTGGGAGGAAAACCCAGGGCTGTAGCCTGGCGACTGCCATCTGGGTTGGCTCCGGGAGCGATATTCAGAATATGCAAGCACAAGGATGTCTTGGACATGGGCTGAAGTGCCAGCGTGGCCATTCTGGTGCATTCTAGCTGAGGGTCAGCCCCTTGGATAGGCCAGGGGGCGGGGCTTCCATTTCTCCCCCCCACCCCCCCGTGGGTTAGGGGTCAGACCCAAACCACCTGCAGAGAGAACCACAGGGACAGAGCTGGGTCAAGGGCTGTGTTCTGGAAACCCAATGCCAAAGCCCTAGTGGGCAGCTCACATCCACTTCGGGAGGGGGCTCATCAGCCTGGAAATCTGGGAGGCACCCAGTCTCCAAGGCAGGGCCAGGCGGGGGCCGGGGGCCCAGAAGAGGAAGCACGCCTTGCTGGCCTTCGTCAAAGCTGACAGGGCTCCTGCTTCCCACCGCATCTGCGCCCCGCCCCTGGGCTCCCTTCCCCAGGCTGCAGAAATTCCCTTCTCTGGGCCCCAGCGTGGAACCGCAGCATTGCCATCACGCAGCCAGTCCCAGTCCCTGCCCCAAAGCCAGGCCCTGACCCGGGGACTCCTAGGTCTCTGAGGCAGCCGCAGGCCTTGGAACTGCTGGGCAGACAAGGCAAGCAAGATGGGCCGTCGCGGGAAGGGTGACAGATGCCATGTGTGTCTTGCCCTTGACATGGGTTTGGGACTTTTTTGCAACTGCCAAAATAAGTAGGCCTGGGATCTCCAGAGAGAGAGGATCTCAATCTCCTGGGGGCTTCTCTGGAGGGGCCAACGCCCAGGCGTCTGTCATGAGGTACAGAGGAGAGAAACAAGCCCAGCTTAGGCACTGATTGAGTCTCCATCCCCACAGTTATCTCCCCCTGACTATGAAGGAGAAGAGTTCCCTACACTAACCCCAAAGGCATATGTATGAGGCTCTTCCAGGGCACTCCCCAATCCTGCAATTTCGTGGAAAGAGGCTACACCAAGCCTCAGTTTCTTCCTCTGGAAAATGGGGCCAGCGCGCACCTCACAGTGCCTGGTGGAGGCCTGAGCATGCAGCCGTATCTCCTAAGAGTGGATGGCAGCTCCTCTTCCAGGTGTAGACCACCGCTGGGAGGCAGGCAGCATCTGAATCCTTATCCCCATAATCAGAGAACAAATCTGAGGCCAGAGGCCCCTCTCACTCCACCTCCTAACTCCATTCCCCATTCCCTGGACATGGCTGGGCACTAACTGAATGCATTTCCTGCAAAGGCTCAGCTGGGGCCTGCCAGTCTGTCTAGTGGTTGCCTGTGTACCCAGTGGCTCGGGGCATCTGTGTCTCTCTTCCTCTGGGGCCCTCTTGGGACAGGAGGAAGAACTAAGCCTGGTCCTTCTTCCCAGACTGGCTGCGTGCTGAGCCCGGGCTGAAGTTTAGAAGTACCTTTGCTTTCTTGGTGTCTGGTTGTTTGGCAGGGAGGGTAGGAACAGAGGAAACATCCTCTCTTCACTGTGTGGTTCTAGCTCAGGTCTTGAGAATGATCGCATGTGGCCCTGCCGTGGGAGCGGTCTCTGCCCTGAGGCTCCTGAGCCTCAGCCTTGTGCAAACACCAGTCTGGGGCAGAATGGCCCATGCTCAGCTCCGCCAGGCTGGCATACCCAGCCTGCTAGGAGGCAAGGTTGCCCAAGTGATCTTTGCCTTGTGAATAGGACCGGGAGATTCTCGAGTCAGGAATTCTTAAGTGTCTCTGGGCTCTAGGCCTGGATGGAAGCTGTTTTTCTCCCCAGAAAAACAGCCAACTACATGCAGCAGATGTGGCCCACACAGAGCCCCTTGAAGCCAGGCCATGGACTAATAAACCACTCCCACCTGCCAGGCTCTCAGATCCTGGGAAATCGAGTGGCCTGTTACCCAGCTCCCACACTGTGCAGGGCATTACCAGTTGGCTCATTGTGTCCTGCACCTGAGGGCAGGAATCCTGTCCTGCTTCTCTCTGTATATCCAGTGCCCAGCCTAGTGCCTGGCACAGAGGAGGGCATATAACTGCCCATAAAACCAAAACATGGCCATTGCATCCCCAGCCCACAGGGAGCAGCCCAGATGTCTAAACAATCAAAACAGCAAATAATCCAGACCAGGGGCAGCAAGGGCCCCAGAGCCCATAGGAGAGGTGAGGTGGGTAGACAATAAAGGTCGGAGAAGCCTTCCTGGAGGAGGAGGAAATGTAGCATGGAATAAAACAACACTTCTTAGAATTCCATAGAATACCAGTGTGTTACAAGAGTTAGGCGTTACGTGAAGAATACAGGGGACTCAGTTTTCTCATCTGTAAAATGGAAAACATAGTAACAGCTCTTCCTAGTGCTCTGCCACCTGCCAGCTGTGTGTGCCCCTGGGCCTTTTGTCTGACTCTCTAAGCTTCGGCTTTCTCATTGCTCATGAGGACCAGATGAGACCTCTGATGGGAAAGGTCTCTGAGGAGGAGGAGAGCCTGTGCTTGGATTAACCGCAGTCCCTGCTGCATTGGTCCCTAGAAGGATCTCCCAGGGTGCAGGTGGAGCCGGAAGAGGCTTGGGGAGGGGCAGGAGAGCATAATGCCACAGACCTAGACTTGGTGACCTGGGTTCAAGTCTCAACCCTGCCATTTACCAGCTGTGGGCAAGTTACTTGTCCACTCCACGCCTTAGTCTTCTCCGTTTCCTCATTATCCCCTGTAAACTGGGGGTAATGGCAGGGGTTACCTCAAAGGGTTGTGGTGGGAACAAAGTGAAGTAGCTCAGAACAGCGCCTGCCACGTGGGCTGTGTGTTAGGATTCAGCCCCGGAGATGAAACACCTCCCTTTCCCCATCAGTAAAATGAGCTGTGAACATTGTCATTCACCGAGGTCAGTCCGAGTGCCCAGTGTCAAGTGCTTAACAAGTACCCGCTCTTGTGGTTTCGTTATGATGGGCGCTGCTCTGGAAGAGCAGTCACGTTCCGCAGAAAGGGCGGACTCCGACTCTGGAACACGGGGCCATGCCCCTAGTGGTGCCACTCTGTAGTGAGCTATTCTGCACCCTTACGGCACATGTGCCTGGAAGCAGGGCTTGTTATCCCATTTTACAGATGAGGAGCATGAGGGCTCGAGGTCATCAACACAGTTCACATCAAAGCTGACTTTGAACACAGCTCTGCTGGACAGGCGCCAGGTGAGCCATCAGCCCGAGCCAGGCGTGTGCACCTGCACCCAGCTCTCTACGTGCTCTCTGTCTGAGGGCCTGAGCCGGGCAGGGCCACCAGGGAACTTTTCTTTATTCTCGCTCATGTTCAGCATTTGTCCTGCCCTTTTTGCCCTCTTCTGATTTACAGAAATGTCTGGCCTCCGGCCCCAGCCCCCAGCTCAGAGCCATGTGGTCTGGAGCTATGCCCGCTCCACACAGGGGCTCGGGCTGGCCATTCCTGACACCCCCTGCCCCCAATCTGCTGCCGTGACCTCTGAGTCACTCTACAGGAAACTGCTCCAGGCCACGCATAAATCCACCTTCCCATTCACTTCCAGCGGACGTCAGGCAAATAGATCTCTGCAGGTGATAGAGGGGGTTTAAAGCCAGGGAATCTATTCCCACCCAGGGCACCACCTGCTGCCAGCACAGGCCATGGTCTCAGCTCCCACCCCTGACAGCGCTGGATTTTCTACCTAAAGGCCCAACTCTGGGGACAACTGTTGTGTGAACCTGGCCCCTCTGAAGCTGGGGTGGTCTCTGCCCCCCAATCTGAGCTTCGTTCCTTTCTTTTTCCACCACTGGTTCTGTTCCACTCTGTAACACCTTTCCCTCTGCCTTCCATGGCCCCCTTTCCTTCCACACCCTTCCACCCCAGGGTGCCGGGCCCCAGAGACCCAAGTTCAAATCCTCACTGGCGTGCTCTTAAAGGACACTGGAAGAATTTAGTGTAAGCTCTCTGCGCCTTGGTTGCCTTATCTGTGAAATGGGGAGAATAACACTAGCTATGTCACTCACACGTGCTGTTCACATGAAGGGCTCAGCGCAGTGTTTGGCAGACCCTGGACACTCACAAAGTGATGTTGTCAGTGTTATTATTATACCTAATATCTCTTTTAGAAAACAGCATGCATGGGCCCCATCCTCGTGAAAGAATTGGGCAGTGAATAAGACAAGTGCCCAATGAAGAGTTAACGTGCTAGCAGAGGTGGCTTCCCAGAGTAGGCCGACTCATGATGAGTCTGCAAAGATGGGTAGTGGGTGTTGGGGTGGCCTGTGAGCTCCTGGATGCGGGAGCTATTTGTCATTCTCTACCGTGTCCCCAGCACCTGGTACGATGCCCGGGAGCTCAAAATTATTCACAGAAGGAAGGAAGAGAAGGAGAGAAGAGATGGGGAATGCCCCGGTGCCCCTCCCTGTGCAGGATGGAAGGCTGCAACCTGGGGACAGGACACAGGACACCCTATGTCACCCGTGGAACAACTGGCTTCAGTTCCCCAAGCCTAGAGTGGCACTTCCCTGAGCCGCTGTGCGCACAGCCCTCGTCCTCGCTTCCTGTCGCCTGCACCGCGGGCTGTCAGAGGGCAGCTCAGACCAGTCCCGCTGGGTGCTCCCTGCATGGCGAGTTTCGCAGTAGGGGGGAGAAGGGGACAAAGACAACAGCGCAGCAGCAGGCGGGGTGGGAACTGGATACTGCAGAATGTTGTGAAACGGAACCTCCGGTTAATTTTGCATGAATCCCACGGCCTGCCCAAGTGGAGGAGAGCGCGGGACTGAGGGGGCAGGAGGGCAGATCACCGGGGATGGTGCCTCGTGTTGCACAACATGATGTTAGCGGAGAATGCCCCCGCACCTAGCAGGGCCCAGGTCATCCACAGAGCTGCCACCCACCGGGCACAGGGAGTGTGGAGGCAGTGGGTAGGGGTCTTCTGTTAGTCATTATGATGTCACTGTCCGTTTCTCCAAGGTTCACTGGGGCCCTGGCCGGTTGACAGGGAAACTGAGGCAGCCACAGATTCAG